TTAATAACTGCTTGTTGATTTCCAGGAGGGAACCTCTCAATTACAGATCTGAGATTACAGATCTCTGCAGTTTGAGGGAATAAATCACATGGAGCTGAGGTAATACATATAGCCTGCAACACTCCAGAGTACAGTGGGAACCAGATAAAAACCAGAAAAAATGGAAAATAATTAATAAAATAAATGAAAACACAATAAAACATAGATAACATTGCATTTTAAAACTAAGTCAATATATGGCCCACAGGGATCCTTATGTACAAATGTATGGCCTCCATTTCTATTGGAGTTTGATCTCACGGATGTAGAAGAGCTAGTAGAGGTGTTCCTCTTGGTCCCATGGGGCGGAACCTGGAGAAATGTGTAGAGGTTGCCAAAAAGAACATTTAGCAAGTCACTTAACCCCAATTGCCTCACCAAAAAAAATTTTTTTAAATCCTGGTTTGGGGCAGCTAGGTGGTGCAGGGGATAGAGCACCAGCCCTGAAGTCAGGAGGACTCAGACCAAACACTTGACACTTACTAGCTGTGTGACCCTGGGCAAATCACTTAACCCCAATTGCCTAAAAAAAAAATAAAAATAAAAAAAAGAACATTTAGTTTTGATAATTCCCAACTTCCTAAAAATTCAAGCAGTCCCAAAATAGAATGAGCTGCCTTGGGTCATGGCAGGCTCTTCTTCATTGGAAGTTTTCAAGTGGAGCCTATATGACCAATTGTAAAAGGCATAGGTATGGAGTCAGAAGACTTGAGTTCAAACCCAGCCTCAGACATTTTACTAGTTGTGTGACTTATCACTTAACCTCAAATCACTTAATCTCAGTCTGACTCAGTTTCTCATCTGTAAAGCGGGAATAATAATAGCACCTACTCCCAGGTTGTTATGGGGACTAAATGAGATAATATATTTAAAGTGCTTTGTAAACTTTAAAGCACTATATAAATGATAGTGATAATTTACATTATTATGGTACACAATAACATAAGGGGATTCTTCTTAGGGAACAGTTTGGATTACATGGGCTCTAAGGTACCCTTCCAGCTTTAAGAGTCAATGATTCCATAACATGTTATTCTTCATATAAAATAACACCACTAGCTTGTTCTTCGTGAGATTTCAGATGTATTTCCAGTAGATAGTCTAGTAATCATGGATTACTTGGAAATCTCAATGCCAGCCATACTTATTCAGATGGCATTGTCCATGGGTGATTTATTCCTTTGATTTGATTGGACATTAATTTTTATGTTGGTCTGACCCTGCCCTAGAATAAAAGGAGAATGACTTAGGCCAAAGACATATTTTACGCTTTTGAAATGAGAAAGGATGGAGGAGGGGAGAGAGCGGCAGAAGGAAGGAAGGAAGGAGGAGGGCCCTAGACAGAGGCAGAAAGAGACAGAAAGAAAGAAAGGGAGGGAAGGAGAGAGAGGAAGAGAAAGAGAGGAAGAGAGGAGATGGGGAGGAAGTAAAGGAGGAGGAAGAGAGAAATAGAGACAAAAACAGACAAGGACTGAGAAGGAGGCAAGAAGGAAAGAGGGAGAGAAGCTGTTCTTAACTAGGAGGATTTTTGAAATGCAGCAGTAACCATTTTCTGTTGAAGTTTGATTATGGTATACTTAGAGATGAGAGGTAGAGATAACAAAATAATCATCAATTTTGTAGTCAAGTTAGCATTTAGATCTATACAATGCATGTGAAATTCTACTTTTCTTCCTCCTATTATCTTCATACGTTAAGTTCTGCTGCTACTTTCATATGTCAAGATACGAGGTTAAAGAATCTTTCAAGTTCTTAGAATAATTGATTGGCCCACCATGAAGGAAATTAGAAAGGAAAAAGAAGGGAAAGGGAGGAAGAAAGGAAGGAGACAAGCATTTGTTAAGCTCCTACTATGTGCCAGGCACTGTGCTAAGCACTTAACAAATATTTTATTTCATCCTCACAGCAAACCTGGGAGTTAGGTGCTATTATTAACCCCACTTCACAGTTTAGGAAACTGAGGCAGACATTGTGTAAGTGATTTGCCCAAGTCCACATAGCTAGTAAGTGTTTGAGGCTGGGTTTGAACTGGTTTGTTGTGTTGCTGTTCAGTCATTTCAGTTGTGTCTGACTCTTTGTGACCTCATTTGGGGTTTTCTTGGCAAAGATATTCGAGTGGTTTGCTATGTCCTTCTCCAGCTCATTTTACAAATGAGGAAACTGCGGCAAAAGGGTTAAGTGACTTGTCCAGGGTCATACAGCTAGTAAGTGTTTGAGGCCAGATTTGCACTCAGGAAGATGAGTTTTCCTGACTCCTGACTCCCACGCTCTGTGCACTATGGCGCCACCTAGCTACTTCATGTGAACTCACGTCTCCCTAACTCCAGGCCCAGTGCTATGCACCACCTAGCCACCTAGCCACCATGATGACAATCTGACGGCAAAGAATAGGTTAAAATCTGGCAAGACTTTCACTGAACAGCATGAAGCTCACCCCAGCCTCTGCCCATGTTGTCCCTAACCCACTGGCATGGTACAAGCACTGGGCTTGGCATCAAGAGACCATGTGTGAACACCGGTTCTGCCATTGACCAGCTGTGTGATCCTGGGTGGTCAGCTTGTTTTCCCTGGCCCTTAGCTTCTTCATCTGCAAAATGAAGACACTGAACTATGAGGTGAACTCTCAGGTCCTATCCAGCTTTAACAATCTGTGACTGCTTGGATGATTTTCTGGTCAGTCATTTGTAACAGTGGAAGCCCAAATGAGTGGTTAAACATCGGCTTTTCCACTTTCCTTACACAGCCTTTGGCTAACCCCAAGAACTTCATAACAGCACAAAAGAGTCAGTGTAATGCAGCAGAAGGAGGGAGAAGTTTAAAGCTGAAAGACCTGGGCTTGAATCCCAGCTTGGCAACCTTTTGGCTTTGTGACCTTGGAAAACTCATTTCATCTCTCTGAGGATCAGTTTCCTTGGCTGCAAAACGAGGGGATTGAATTAGATGATCTTTAAGATGCCTTCCAGTTGCAAGTGCTATGATCTCATGAAGTATGAGGTTCTTCTCTCACATTTTCACACAGGGATTGGCTCCCCAGGCAAGCTGATCTGTCTACCTACCTCACCAAAGAAAAACATACAGACTTTCAATGACCTTGCCCATGTCAACCATTTTGGTTTTTGTCTGAACCTCTGAACTGAGGTTTCCTTTGGTAGGATAGTAGGGGCCTGGCCGATGGACCCCCACAGCTGCTGAGAGAGACGCCTCTCTCCCTACTGAGTCCTTGCCTCCTCACCAGAACATAGATAGATAAAAAGGAAACACTTTGACTGGTTGGTGCCCTCTGAATGAATTCTCAGTTCCAAATCTGCAGCTAATCAGAAGACTCCTATTCTTCACATAGGGATCACAACATAGGATTCACAACTAGGGATCAAGGTCCTTCCATGATATATCATCACATCTTTTCAGAAGCATGTTCCACGTGGGCCAGCAATGTGCAGAGTATACTGCCCACACTCTGAGGATGGGGTTGCATGGGCCAAGGCCCCATTACCATTGGAAATACCAGAAGTAGTATTTGAACTCAAGTCTTCCTAACTTCAAGTCCAGTATTCTATTCATTGACTATACCATGTGTCCATCCAAATGAACTCAGTTAATCCCTTGCTTAGAAAGAACTAAATGATGGCCACTAACAGGTTTTCCCTATTAAATATCAAAATGCTATTCAGAAAGAAAATTCTTTTTAAAAAAATTAATCCCTATTTAAAAAGGACCATTTTACAAAATCACACTCTATCTGTTCTGATAGATTCTTATCCCTTAATGGGGGAAATATCCCCGGGGACTTGAAGCTCTTTGCAGAGAGCAGAGCTGCTTCCCCTCCCCCCATCTTTTTTTTTTTTTTGGTTCGGGAGCTCTTTCCTCTCATTAGCTCCACCCCCATGAAGATTTTCAAACATTCCAATTAGCTTGTCAGGAAAGTCGCTAGTTGGCCCTGGCACGTCTGCCTCGTTTCAGTTTTCCTTTGTACTAGAGTAAGTTTTGTTTTTCTATAAGACCCAGTTATATATTTATCTCCCCCACATCTGAGAGCTAAAGCCCACACCCGTACACATACATATTACTTGTAGAGGGTTCCAGCTGTTTAGACTTTTACCCAAACATATGAATAGAAAGCACAGGCAAAATAAGCACTGTCTCTCCTACCTTTTATGGATTAACAAATAGTCCTTGCCCTGCTGATGCCCGCTCTTAATTGGACTATGCTGTGAGGAGCAATTAAGATTAAATGGCCACTTGCTGGGAGCTGGTGAAAGAAATGCTGCCGCTTGAGGCATTGGCATTCTCCGAGGCTGGGGCACATGCTTCTCTGCCCTTCGGCTTGGCTGGGGTGCTAGGAAGAAAGCACTTTGATTTTTTTTTAGCTCCTTAAAAAGTTCAACGGCACCAGTGTTCTACATGCAACAAGGGAGCGTCTTCTAGGAGTTCTTATCAGCAAAATATCCTGGAGGCCAGGGGGAGGAAGGCTCTGATTCTGGGGCAAAGTGAAGGTGCTGAGAGGAAGGTCTTTGTTCCTCCCTAAAGCAGAAAAGGGCTAGCAGCTTCTCCAAGAGGGAATGCTCTCCTCTTCCATGAACTCTACCACAATCACATGTGCAGAAGCCAGACCAGGGTGAGAAAAATGAAGCGGAAAATTAGACAATTCCCTGGATAAAAACTGACCTTTCCCAGAATTACAAGTTAACCAGGGAGAAAGAAGCTTTATTCAAGCATATTCCAAGGCATCATTTTTTTAATTGTCCTCTCACCCCAAATCAGTGGTGAATTAGAATATAAGGGACAAACATAGAAGTGGCTCTTTGAAAATTATATCCCTCTGTGTGTTACTATATCAGAGGCTGTAAGCCTCCATTTGACATAGGCAGTTTGGTTTATCCAGATAGATAAATAGATAAGGAGACTAGCAGTTAGAAAATCACCAGAGGCAGGAATGAGTATGGTACCAATAAAAAACTAACCTGATTGGAGCAGAATTCCTGTTTGTAGTGTAGTAGGAGAGAAAATTGAATAGGCATGATGAGTTCCTTCTCCATATAGAATTCTGGCACCATATTTTCTGTCCCCTTAAAAAAAAAAGACCAGGTATACAAGATGAATAGGAAATGTAAACATATGTTAAGATGTTAGAAGAGTTTTCAAATGTTTCTCTCTTCTTCTGCCCTTAGGGCATTTCTGTGATTGAATGGAAGAGAAGTCTTCATACTGCTAAGTTTGAAGCAGGCTGAGAAAGTTACTGTACTCAATGATGATGTACTTAAGATCAAGAGTTCTAGTGGGGCCTAGTTGCTTAAAGTAGTAAATCCAAATTCAATCAACTTCTATTACAGCAACACTGTTTCTGGGCCTTTACCAAATTGTACTTGTTAAATGTGTGGGAATGGAAGGAGCTGAGGAAGCCACTGCCAAGATTCAAGAAAGAAGGACTCCTTTTCACATTTTATCTATGCACAGGTTAATTCTGAGAGGACCAGAACTCCACGAACAGAGCATTATGACTACATAATGGACATGGTCAATGGCTCTGTCTGTTTCCTTCCCTGCTTCAATCTGGACCTTGCCCCACTTTCCAATAATAATTTTAATTCAATTCCATACATTCTTTGACTAAATGCTATTTACAAGGCACTATACTAGGTGATGATGACAAAAGTATAGATGAGACAAGGTCTTACCCCTTTTAATTTTAGTCCCTTCCCTCTGTTAAGTATTCATTATTTTTCCTTGCTCCTACATAACTTGCTTTGTGTACATCTGTTTTCATGCTATCTCCTTGTTAGATTGTTAGCTCCTTGAGGGCAGGAACTGTCTTTTACCTCCTTTTGTATCCTCCGTGCTTAGCACAGTGCCGGGCACACAGTTGTTGATCAGTCGGTTCAGTTATGTCTGACATGACTCCATGAACTATAGCATAATAGGCCTTTCTGACCTCCAGTGTCTCTCTGAAGTCTGTCCAAGCTCATGTTCATTGTTTCCATGACACTATCTATCCATCTCATCCTCTGCCTTCCCCATCTCCTTTTGCTTTTAATCTTTTCTAGCACCAGTCTTTTGTAATGAGTCCTGTCTTCTCATTATGTGGACAGAGTATTTAAGCTTCACTTTCAGTATTGGTCCTTCCAATGAACAGTAAGGGTTAATATCTTTAAATATTAACTGATTTGGTCTTCTTGCTGTCCAAAAAACTCTCAAAAGCCTTAGCCAGCACCACAATTCAAAAGTATCAATTCTGTGGCACCCAGATTTCCTTATAGTCCAACACTGGAAAAACCATAGCTTTAACTATACGGACCTTGGTTGGCAAAGTAATGTCTCTGCTTTTTAATATGCTGTCAACACTTGCCATAGCTTTCCTTCCAAGGAACAAGCATTTTTAAATTTCATGGCTGCATCACCATCTACATCATTGAGCCCCCAAAATATAAAATCTGACACTGCTTCCATTTCTTCTCCCTCTATTTGTCATGAAGTAACGGGACCAAATTCCATGATCTTAGTTCTTTCAACATTAAGCTTCAAGCCAGCTTTTGCATTCTCCTCTTTTACTCTCATGAAGATGCACATAGTAGGTCTTCATAAATGTTTATTGATTGTTCATCTCTACCATCCAAATGCTCAAAATCAAGTCAAGGAAATAGGATGTTGATGGAGGAAAACTCACAAAAGAAATATGTAGTTCTGACCTTGTCATATTTTGTTTAAGTTGGTAGTAGAACAACACACTCCCCTGCATTGTATCATCTGCATTTTTAATGAACATGATCTTGTAAAAATAGTGTAAGTTGCACTGAAACTAAGAATGAGATGGAGCTTTATGCAAAGCTAAGGACAATGAAAAGGGTGCTGTTATGCTTTTTGTTTTGTTTTGTTTGGAGTGCCCCAGGGATTGAAAATTGGCCCTTGTGGGTTTTTTTAAAATATATTTTTATCAGAGACCAGGATAAAGGAATAGATAGCATCACTTACCAAATTTACTGATGACACAAATTTGGAGAGTGTTGGGGATAGTTAACATGCTTAATAACAGACTCAGAATTCAAAATTATCTTAAGGGCTTAAAATATGAGATGAAACTGAACTGGGATCATCAATCAGTCAATAATCATTTTATTAAGTTCTCATTATGAGCCAGGCATTGTGATAAAGGCTGAGGATACAAAGAAAGGGCAAAATCCCTGCCTTCGAGGAGTTTGTATTCTAGTGGAAGATACATAACTCTGTTCGTTAAAGATATATACCATGTAGAAGGAAAGTCAGCCAAGGTTGCTGAGAGGATCCAGAAAGGTTTCCTGAAGTCAAGGTGACATTTGAGCTATCTAAAAGAAAACCAGGGAAAAGTAGGGCATGGAGGTGAAAAAGGACCACAAGTCAGACATGGGGGATGGTTAGTCTAAGGCAAAGAGTCCAAAGATGGTGTGTCATGTCCGGTGAAAAACAAACAGGACAGTGCAATTGGATCAGAGAGTGTGTGGAGGGGAACAAAGTGTAAAAAGACTGGAAAGGTAGGGAAGAAGCAAGCTGATAAGGGCTTTGAATGTCCAATAGGCATTTATATTTTATTCTGGAGGTAATAGTAAATTAGCTTCACAAGTATAAGATGGAAATTTGGCTAAACAACAGTTCATATCAAAATTATTTGGTCAACAGAGGTTAGTGGACTATAAGCTCAACATAATAATAGCTAGAATTAATATAGTGCTTTAAGATTTGCAAAATACTTCATAAATAATATCTCATTTTATTCTCACAACCACATGGGGAGGTAGGTGCAATTTATTATCCTCATTTTCCAGATGAGGAAACTGAGGCAGACAGCAGCTAAGTGACTTGCCCTGGGTCATACAATTAGTAAGGTCAAATATGAACTCCGGTTTTCCTCACTCCAGGTTCAGTGCTCTATCCCCTGTGCCACTTGCTGCCTCAATATGAATCAATAGTGGAATATAACAGCCAAAAAAGCTAGTACTATCTTAGGTTATATTAAAAGGGAATAGTATCCAGGACTAAGGAGGGGATAATCTCACTGTATGTAGCCTTGGTCAGACCACATCTGGAGTATTGCAGTCAGGTCTGGGTGCCACATTTTAGATATTAATAAACTGGAGAGTATCCAGAGGAAGCTAAGTTAGGGCCTTGAGATCCTGCCATATAAGGATCAGTTAAAAGAACTAGGGATGAAAAGACTCAAGGGGAACAGAGAACCATCTTAAAGTAGTTGAAAGACTACCATGTGGAAGAGGGAGTAGGCCTGTTCTTTTGGTCTCAAAGGAACAATGAATAGCAATACGAGGTATATTTGGGCTTCCCAACAATTAGAGCTATCCAGAAGAGGAATGGGCTACCTCAGGAGGCCATGGGCTCCCCATCACTGGATGTCATCAAGCAAAGACTATGTGTCTACTTGTCAGCTAAATTATAGATGTATGGCATGTGACGGGCTGGCACAGATGGCCTCCAGGATAGAGTGTATGATCCTGTGAACAAAGTTTTATTAAGGCAAGAACAATGTTGTACAATCAGAATGTTAGAGTTTAAAGTAACTTCAGAAATTGAAGGGGAAGGGGATAAGAGAAGGGGGGAAGAGATAGAAGGGAGGGAAGATTAGGGGTATTCAGAATGCTTGCCATTTTGGGGTGGGGGGGGACGAGATGGAGAGAAAATTTGGAACTCAAAATCTTGTGGAAGTGAATGTTGAAAACTAAAAATAAATAAATCAATTTAAAAAATAAAGTAACTTCAGGATAAAGTAACCTCCTCATTTTATAAATAAGGAAACAAGACTCAGAGAGGACCTAGGTCATTCAACCAATAATTAGAATGGAAAGGGACCTTAGTGATCACAGAATCTCAGCATTACAAGGTGCCTCAGTGATCATCCAGTGCAACACCTTTCTTCTCATCTAATCTATCTCATTTTACAGAGAAGGAAAACAAAGCCCAGAAAGAAGAAGATACTAAGGTCACACAGGAAACCAGTAGTAGAACTGGCATTCAAACCCCCATCTCTTGACTTCTAGTCCAAGACCTTCTTAAGCAAAGATATAGCCAAAAGTATCATGAAAATTTGTGTAAAAAGCAGACACTAACCAGACTTGAAACACTATCACAAAACAGGCTAAGTAAATTATCAGACAGCAAGACCATTAGGCATTCATGTCACAGACAGTCATACCATTGTCACTCTTATACCTTCCAAAAAAGGGCCAAGAGTTCAGAGAATAGCACAAGTTACTGAAGAGATATCCTCTCCAAGAGTCCAACCCAGGGGTCATATATAACATATATGTTTAAAGAGCAGGTTGCAAGTGATCATTATTATTCACTATTATTACTGTTTTTAAATGAAAAATAATTAAATGGATCACAAAACAATACTGATACTTCAAATTATTTTGAAAAGGAGAAGGATAAACTTACATTGGAATTTCAATTTGAGTTTAATGGCATGAGCCCAAGTGGTAGACCAATTATACCAAAACAGAGTAATTTCTTTAAGGCTGGAATGAGTTACAACCATCATGAATGAACATAACCTATCACAACATTTGACAGAAGGTAAGAAACGTTTCCAGATAGACACACAACAGTACATGCAGCAACTGTTGCCACAATATGAACCATAGAAGGAAAGATAGAACTCCCAAGAAAAATCCCTAAGAAGAAGTATCCAATACCACCAAAACAGAGGAGACTTGAAACAGCTACTTAAAGACCTGCAGAAAGACATCTGATGACTACATCAATATCTCACTGGTGCACGCAGTAGGAGACATGAATACCATATGGTCCAATTAAAGGCAATAAAAAAGAAACATGTAGAATCTGGAAAACAGAAGAATATTAAAAGTGGTAGGTTCCCTTAATCAATAATTGAAAACAAAAGGTTAAAAGGTTGAAGCAATACAAAGAGTCAAAGTAGCATGAAAAATAATCATTCAAAATCCAGTCCAAAACTTGACTACAGACGTTCGAGAAACAATAAAATCAAAGGAAAAAGAGAAGCTCTCAAGAAGGTGGATATGGAAAATGACTGGTCATCTATATGGTCTCAAGCAGTCCAACAAATTGAAAATACAAGTTGGATCAAACATGAAACTGAAAATTTGCAAACTATTGATATAATAAACAGTGATATCAAAGGAAATGACTAAAACTCTAGCTTCTCTGCAAAACTGGAAAGGGGAAAAACCAAATAATACCTACAGTTATTGGTTCAAACACTTCGCTGTTGCCCATGAATTACTAGGAATGTACTTTGCCAGTTTCCTCCTGGAAGCAAACCTGATCCCACCTTTCTTAACAGAAGATATCACTTATCTGTTATCAAAGGATGGTGATACCAGTGACTCCTCCAAATACAGGACTATTAATTATAT